TTGACGCCACAAAGCAAGTCTAGTGTCATAAGAAATGTTACTATAGGGAAAGTGAAGTTTATACAACAGGTATTTAAGAAATTTACTTTGAACTCTTTCCAGTTTTTGTACATGACAGGCTCAACGAGGTGGCCAGATCACAGAGCGGTACTTTAACAAACTTCGAACTAGACAAACAAATGATTGCTATTGTATCTCTAATGTGCCTTTACTTTCTCCTAATAAAGCCCAGCATCCTAAATCCCTTCAGAACAATGCTATCAATATTCAAATTAAACGTTAGGTCAGTGTCGAAAATTATTCCTAGATCGTTAATAGATGAAACATTTTCAATTATTGTATCATTAACCGTATAAGTATTATTCAATGGGTTCCGACGTTTGTGGAAATGGATAGATTTACATTTAGAGATATTAGTTGACAGGAAGTTAGATTCGCACCACACAACAAGTCTGTCAAGCAGGGGCGGACATATCACCGGGCAGTTCGGTGCGCCGCCCTGGGGCCCAGAGTACAAAAAGGTCCCACGATGCTGCGAAAAATTGTTTTTACGTGATACTCAATGGATAGGTTAGGAGCCCATAAATATGTTTTGCCCTAAAGCCCATTCGTCCCTAGATCCGCCACTGCTGTCAAGATTAGACTGCAAGCCATCGAAACCAGGGCTAACCGAGCTAAAGAGTTTGAGGTCGTCGGCGTATAGGAGACATTGGGATGTTTTAAAACATAAAAGAACATTATTCATAAATAATAAAAAGAGCACAGGGCCGATATGCTAACCCTGGGGAATGCCAGAGGTCACAAGTACGTCACAAGATACAGAATCACAAACAGTAACAAGCTGACGACGCTGAGATAGGTAGGATTCAATCAGCTCAATGTAATTACCAGAGACACCGATCTCAGACAATTTCTTTATCAGTAAAAGATGACAAATACTGTCAACCTGATAGCCAGCTTCAACGGATGAAACAAGAAAGTCCTGATAAACTGCTAGGTTAGTACAGGCAGAACGACCTTTATAGAAACCATGTTGTTCAGGTATAATATAGTTTTTATTATGTGTAAAAAATTTCATCAGTAAGAATCAAGGATCGACTCAAAAAGTATAGGAATGGCAGAGAGAAGAGATATTCCACGGTTATTACTGACAACCGACCTATCACCTACCTTGAAAACGGGAAGAAGATAAGATTTTTTCCATAAGAAAGGAAAGTAACCTGCATCCATCGATTTTTCGAGAAGAGCTCTCAATGGGTTTACAAGGGAGGAGCACCAAGATTTCAACAATAAGGGTGGAATGCCATCAGGGCCTGCTCTCTTAGATTTATCCAAGTATGATAACTTCTCGGTGATTTCCTCTGTGGTAAAGATATGAAAAGACAAAGTGGTACAGAATTGCACAGAGCTGTGTGTTGGACAAATCCACATCTTCATGATTTGAATAACAGGACTGAAAGTGCGAGGCAAACGCATCAGCAATATCATTAGAATTAATGAGGGGTTGATTATTGTACTGCATTATGCTGGGTAGACCAGAAACACCTGTTAGGCTCTTCACGTATGACCAAAAATGTTTGATGTTTTCGGGAATTACTATAAAATAACGAAGATAGCATTTGGCTGACTGAATATTCGAGGCCTTGCAGGAATTTAATGTAGCAGGCAAATTTTTATCGATAACTTTACCAAAGACTGATGATGAAGATGGTTTTGCGAGGACTTACTTGAAAGACGTGGTTGGTATACTTGGATGATGTCATGGTGCTAGGCAGAGATTTAACTCTAAGAAAGTTTTCATCAGGATTTGAAGTACCAACCTAAAATTAAGTTCAAAGAAGTGGGTTGTAGCGACCTCGGACATTTCATATCTAAAAGAAATAGAGACGGTCCAAGAAAAAGTCCAAGCGGTTTTCGAATTGGATGGGCCAGGTTTGGAAAAGTAGTCTAACTTCATTTCTACGAACTCGGTTATAATATGAAAATGAAAATAAAATATAAATTGTCACACATGATATATTCCAAAGCGTGTCTCGACAACGGATTAGACATACAAATGTAGAGGAACAAATATGTTGGCACTCTCAAAGCTTGTGTTTTGCAATAAATAAAATTGTGTTCTCCTCACAATATTCGTGGTGCTCTAAAATTCCACCCACACTTTGTATGATTTTCCTGTTTATACTAGAGATCCCAAAAATGTGTGTATCTTGTCTTATTCCTTATTATGTTTTTTCTATCTTGTTTGTTTTATTCACAGAAATAAAAATATATAAATAAAACAATACCTATCTATTTTTAATATTACTCCTGTTTGTATAAGCAGGCACTTTTCTGGGTATCGAGTGTTACAATAACGATTGTTATAATTATATACCTATCAATATCTGACTGTTGACGACAGCAATATTGATGCCAAACACTCCAAATCTTATCATACCTGAAATATTTTTTCAATATAATTGAGCACGCTTATATAAAACAAAAATGATAATTTAGTATTTATAGGACAATTGCTATTATGTGGTATTTTTAAAAGTAATTTCATGTGACGTAGAATTCAGTCATTTTTAGACTTGGAGCATGAGTCAGAGTTGACAAATCCTTGCCGAATAAGTTACGAGTTTGTGTAGCTTTTAGGACGGTTATTTAGGTTAGCTGTCAGTTAACTAATTATTATCATCAGCTAACCGACAGCTGAACTAGATAACCGCCCACTGATAAACCGGTCCTTAGTCAATCTGTATAGCTTTCAGTCAACCAAGGGTCTCCAGTGTTGATATTAGAACTCTCATATAAAAATTATACAGGTTTCTTCGGTGTTCTGCATTTTCTTATTTCTAGTTAGTGTAGCTTTCAGATGGTCAGAAGTTGCTATAGCTACATTATTGCTAGTCTAAATTTTGTGTCCTATGAGTCGATAAAAAGTTTCTGTTCAATTTATCACAAGACGAATACTACATCTCATGTAGTTAGTGTTGGTTTTAGCAAAAACAGCATTAAAAAAAATATATAGTTAATCGAAAGTATGGAACATAATTAAAATTTATCAATTCAATTTCGTATTAGTCAGAATGGAGCAATACTCGTGTTTGAATGGCTTTTTTGTTTTAAGACGTTGGATTTTTTTATAAATTCCCTGTGCTCCTATACTATCTAAATTTTCTGTAGTAAGTGAACGAAAGATGCAATAACTGCATTATTTCGAGTATAATGTTTTACTAACTTATACCACTTCCTGAGAAGCTTATATTCCATCTTTTGTTATACATACTTACTGCAACTTGCTTGTTTTTGAGAAGCTTCATAAAATTAAATCCTATTTTTTTCGTAAATTGTCTGACAATATCCGCTTAAAATTCAATGGCTTGGCACTAATCTAATTATCAGATTAAACTTTGAGGTAGTAATGTGAACTTTTTAACACTTAAATATCTATAAATAAACCGCAGGTGTGATGACTGCCATGACATCAGCACCAAGCAAACAAATTATGTATTTTATGCTTTCCGCCTCTTGGGTATATGACACGGTTTGAGCCAGGAAAAAAAAATCTGGTTGACACGAGTCAGTTTGAGATTTTTGTTTGAAAAGGAACCTGGTGATTTTGTTTTTTAATATTTTATCAGTTTTGTAATAATGGTGAGAGACAACAGGTTAGTCATTTTGTAAATAATTTAATCAATTTTGGCATCTAGATGTGTTTATCTCGTTATTAAGTTAGATAATTAATAACGAGAACCTGCGAAAAATTTCAGTTATAATTATTTTGTCAACACATTATATGAACTAAATTTAGTAGGTTGGATTTCTGAATATGTGCAACCCAAATTTTGCCCTTGATTCCGAAACATTTTAATGTTTGTTTAATCAGGCAACTAGGCCACCCTTGAAGGCTACTTGATTCATAAAATGAGAAATTTCCACGAATCTTATAACATATTCCTTGATTTCGGTGCCGAAAATAGCCTCGAGCAAGGCACTTCCTTAAAATCTTCTAAGCATCGATTTAAAGTGTTTCAATGTTCGGGCCTTCTCAGAATTTTTAGCCCGTAATTGTTTTGGCTGCAATCCAGATAGGACAAATCTGGACCTTGTCATTACCTTCTTTTTTTGTTTTCAAATAATAATTCTGTTATTTGTTACCAAGGGCAATAGATTTTTTGGCACTGGAAAGCAATCTGGAATATTTTGAAGAGTTCAAAGTTTTGTTTGAGGAATGTTAAGGTCCATTTTAAATAAGTTGAAACGAAGATTTTGCACCTGTCCCAGAGACCAAATAGAATTATTGGTTGTCGCGAAACGGAAACGCTTTTTTCTTACATAAATCATTATTATTCTGATCACGTTTTCAACGTATACGCATTTTTTTTTTCACAGTATTGTAGGCGTTTATGCGGTTTGAAGCCAAGTTTCTAAATCCTTTTTGTCTCTCATGTTATTTATGAGTTTGTACCAAACGCTGATTCATGGTTTGTTTGTCGTGTAAATAATTTTCGAGATTTTATGTGTGTTAAAGCTTACGTGTGCGTGCATTACGTTAACAATAATTAATCTCTCCAGTCTTATTGAAGTGAAGCTGCCTACACATTTTTATACTGGATGAAATGTTGTATTTTTCTAAGGACGTGTTTTCAATTATTTCATAATTTTATTAAAGAAAAATCACTTGTGCTTATAAGCACTTGAATATTAAATCAGATTTATTTTAATGCGGCTCGTGCCCTGTCAGTGAGCGGCATATGATTCATATCACTGATCAGTCATCATATCTAATTTTGTGAAGTTGATAACGATGATGATCATGACATAACCAACCTCGGGTGCGCACCAAAAATCTTGGGGCTGAACCATCCAATTAATAATTTCTTTGTTCCAAAACTTTGTTGGTCTTGTCATTGTTTCTTGGCCAACAACAAATGGAACATTGCATTTTTAAAATTGTCACTTTTAATTACGCTTGAAAACAATATTATTATTCTTCTTTTTTTTTCTTTTAGAAATGGCATCTATCCATTGACGGCTTTTGGTGCTAAACAGCCACCATTTGCCAGGTCAAGAGCCATATCTCCGGAGATGGCAGAATCCGTGAAATCCGTGACCCCGGAACCGACTGACGTAGAAACTAGAAAAATAATTAATATGATGTGTGATGTTAAGTCCAAAGAAGAAAGCTGTGATGTACTGGTGAGAATTAACCCATTTTTTTTTTGTATAGTTGTATTAAGATGCTCGTAGAAAATGTGTCAATGTTCTATGTTTCATAACGTATTGACAAATAGATAAGATAATATCATAAATTGATTTTGAGTTGTTTATAACTGTGGCCTAATCAAGGTTCATCAGAACTTTTATTATCTAGAAAGTTGCTGAAAAACAAGTGAAACTCTTACGTACAATGAGGTTGTTACGCAAGAACCAAAAAAAAATACTGTCCTAAAATATAACTTCTCAACCTGGCTTAAAGAAAAAAACTGAAGTTTTCAATTTACTTAGCTTACTCCAACATGAAATTATACGGAACCTGATTACAGTATTGTCAATTTAAAGCATTAGTTCTAAAATAAAATGTCAAAGAAACTGAACAAATTAAAGAAGATTTAGACAAATCTGGCTCAACAGCAAGTTCATTTACTAGGATAGATTGTATTACATAAAATCCACCCTTTGGGTGCAATGTAGAGAAAATGAAATTAAAAGAAAAAAAATATATACCAATAATGCCTTCACTTCATCTGAATTATGACAAAACTATACACAACACAATAGGTCTGTTTCTGCAGAAATCACAACCAATCAGAGCGAATTTCATTGGTTGAAAACAGTCAGAAACATACAGAAAACTAGTTTCAACCAATGAAATTCACTCTGACTGGTGGAAACAGACCTTATATTTGAATATACCGGGTGTATATTTTAAGTGATAGCACTATTGCTATAACCAACACGGTAAAAGCTACAAGGTTGGTTTAAATTAGAAAACAGTAGTTGCCTTTTTTGATGCCCATTCAAGACTCGTTTACAGTGTTGCCAAATTCCTTTTAGTTTATGAAATACAGGTTCATAACTAGGACTGAATTAAGGTAAAGTTTTGGTAAAAATCAATGATGATCACTTTTTAGAGCAAAAACGTCGGCGAATCATACTTGATCACGAAACGTCGGATTCAAAATTTGAAGATGCCATGTTGTAGAGCAAAAAAAATTATAAAACTTTCATATTCAAATTGTGTCTCGAAAATCAATAGTTTTTGAAATGATTAATAAATTATTTTTGGGTGTTTCTTAGAAATCACACTGTATTTCGTAAACTAAAAGGAATTTGGTAACACTGTAAACGAGTCTTGAATGAGCATCAAAAAAAGGCAACTTTTTTCTAATTCAACCGACCTTGTATCTCTTACCGTTTCGGATATAGCAATAGTAGTATCACTTAAAATTTACACCCTGTATAACAAACATAATCCAAATTTGAAACAAATCAAAATCTAATAAAAGCAATGACAAAAATTACTTTAATATTTAATCAAATAGCTTAAATTTAGGAACAAAATAAAAGGATTTAAAGATAAAAATATCCACTAGGGAATCAGTTACGAGGAGATAAAAAATAAAGATTAATGTATAATTAAACAAAGTAAGTTATCGTGTGTAACGACTCCAGAGGTCTGTTCTCACAGAAATCACAAACCAGTCAGAGCGTTTTTAATTGGTGCAAATCGCCAACAAACAGTTTTCTGACTATTTTCAATCAATGAAATTTGCTCCAACTGGTTTGTGATTTCTGAGAACAGACCTATAAACGCATCAAACAACTTTCACCGCCAAAATGGGCTCAACCTCGTGACAACCCTTTGTCAGTAATTGCGCCAAACAAATTTTTTGATCACAAAAAATGTTGTCATATTTCCATGAAAATTCGTGGCCCAGTCGTTTAAGCATCTTGGCATGTCAGTTGGTTGCCATTTGACACCAAAATGTCAGCTGTTTTACCGTAACCTTGCAAGCTGTGCCTATTAAAGTCATTATCGGTAGTTTCTTGGCTTAAATATGTCTTCTTTTTTGAATATGGATGTTATGTTGTATTGGCTGGAAAACAGCAGAAACAGCACTCACTAATAAGCGGCTTGAATGGGCATCAAATACATTTGAACCTCTCAAATCCCCAGGAGTGGACAAGATCTTTCCAGCACTCCTACAAAGAGGAAAAACAGAGATCATGCCGCACCTTGTAGATATAACCAGAAGCAGTATGGCGATAGGATATATTTCTAAAAGATGGAGAAGGGCAAGAGTCACTTTCATTCCAAAGGCAGGCAAGAAGGATGAGGCAGACCCCAAATCCTTCAGACCAATAAGCCTCAGATCGTTCCTTATAAAGACGATGGAAAAGGCAGTAGATAATTATATCAGATCCACTACCTTGAAACGCAAGGCAGCACGCCTACAGAGCAGAGGCGGCGATTTGCATAAGCGGATATAAGCGATGCTTTAAGTACAAATATTTATTTTTTCATAAAAATGCTTTCAAATAAAATTGAGAAATATAATGACCGTTATCGATCGATATACTTAACTGGTACATTCCTTCCAGTTGCCACTGCTGAAAGGTCATTTAGTAAATTAAAAATATTGAAAAATTACTTGAAAAATTCCATAAGTCAACATAGATAGACTGCATGATCTTTCTATTTTATCATAGCACAGCATCCAATATGGATATTCGATATTTAGTTGCTCCAAAAAAATTATCCAATGGATAAAGGAGTTATAGATACTCAAAATTTGAAATATTACCGGCTTTTGATTCTCTAGGAAACTTTCCTGGAGCCAATCAAGAGCCGGTAATAATCAAAATTTGAATTTTTATCAACTCTGGATTCGCAAGAGAATTTTTCTAACATTCAAAGCTCAAGAGCCGATAATAATCAAAATTTCGAATGGTCATTAGCAGCTCTTAAGTTGATATCAATCAAAATTTCTCCTTCCGCAGATTCTAATTGACTCAAGAAGAATTATCCAACGGATCAAGAGCCACAAATAATCAAAATTTGAACTATTACTTGCTCTCGATTCTCTGGGAAACCTTCCTAGAGCCAATCAAGAGCCGGTAATAGTCAAAATTTGAACTTTTATATCAACTCTGGATTATTATTATTATTATTATTATTATTATTATTATTATTATTATTATTATCAGTATAGCAATAGGAAGCGGTTAGTGTCCGATGAGTCTATAGCTTTAAATTGTCTGGGTTTTGGTCTTATGTATGAGAAGTTACAAATAATCCACTGTGGCATTATTCAACGTTTCTAGGTTTTTGTCTAGACTATTTTTAAATACATTCTTGTTAGGTGCACTTATAGTTTCTTCACTTAAAGAATTCCACTGGTATACGACATGGTTGCTCAGGAAGTTCCTTCTTCCGAGCAGTAGGGCCCTTTCTCTTTTTAATTTTTGGTGGTGTCTTCTGAGATGCGGTTTTGATTTAAATTAAAATTGTACATATCTGATATCATAATGTCCGGTGAGTAGTAACCGTTGAGAATTTTGTAAGTCTCTGTTAGGTCACCTCTTTCTCTTCGTTGCTTCAGTGTTGTTAAATTGAATTTTCCTACAATCGCCCTAGAAAGCAGGCTTTGTCGATTAGATTTGTGATCGCAAAGTAGGCGTTTCCTGATGACCTTTACTTTGCCGCTCTAGAGCGACAAAGTACTAAAAACGCTCGCTTGTAAATTTTGTATTTTCCCAATTTTTTATTCCCACTTTTTTTTCCCCCGACCATTTTTTTTCACGACTTTTTTTTTCCCGACTATTTCTTTTCCCGGCAATTTTTTTTCCCGACTTTTTTTTTCCCGACTTTTTTTTTCCCGACTTTTTTTTCTCGTTTTTTTTTTTCTCGGCATTTTTTCTTCCCGGCCAATTTTTTTCCCGACCGACTTTTTTTTTTTCACGACCATTTTTTTTTCCTGACCATTTTTTTTCTCGACATTTTTTTTTCCCGACAATTTTTTTCCCGGCCATTTTTTTTCCCGACAATTTTTTTTCCTGACTTTTTTTTTCCCGACTTTTTTTTCCCGACTTTTTTTTTTCCCGACTATTTACATTTCCTGACCGACTTGGAATTTGAAATTTTTAAACAAATATGGGCCCGGATTCTATTTTACGAGTCGAGTCGAATTGTCTTTTATGCTCCGCACGTACCGTGTAATACGTATCGAAAAATCGTAAAATAGAATCGCTATTTTCCTTGACAATTCGATACGAATTTCAACTCGACTCGTAAAATAGAATCCGGCAGCTGTTTGTTTTTTCGCCTTCATCTTCCTGTTTCCTTGTATATTCTGACTGCCAAACAATTCGTAACGATCATTTGCATATCATTTGGAAAATGGCTTTGAACGTCAGATATGGGGTAACTTTTTTGGTGATTGGAATAAGCTTACATTTACAGAAAACGCCGAGTAAGCCAATAGGTAACTCAAAGGTGAATATTTCTTTCCAGCTTTTATTTTAGACATTGCAAAAAAACACGGCACAGAACCACAGAAGAAAAAATTACGAAAGAATGTTTTTTAACCACGGCCATAATAGAATTGACCATTCCAGGTCAGGTGACTTTGACAGATCCGCCAAATTTACTGATAGGCAGGCAAAGCCTATAGATCATTATTGTTAACACTGTTCTTTGAATTTGTGCTTCGGAATTGTTTCGTTCTTTAATTCATTCATTAATTATTAAAGCTGTTTTTAGTTTTCATGAATGAATGAATGAATCTTTATTAACGGACATGCCATTTTACATTTCAATTCTAAAATAGTAAACAATTTATTAACAAAAATAATCTAAATTGTTTAAAAAATAAAATAGTTTGATACTAACAACCTTAGAAATAAATTTTAACAAAATAAATTTGTGGTAAAATGGCTCCTCAAACGTTTGTCTGTTCTTCTGATCGGTGCACAGATCTGGCATGTCGCTTACTGGCTTGTTCATTCTGGGGCTTTTATCGTAGTGTATCCTAAATTTGTACTGGGGACTTAATCCGGATTGTTTGTATCCTCAAGTTCTGCTGGACTACCTGAAAGGTATTAAAAGTTACCCACTTGTAAAAACATAAACAATTTTTTTGATATACCTAGATGACGTGTTTTTGTATTTTAACAACAAGACAGTCATAAAACTTACCATTAACAAAATGTTTCGAACAAATTCGAGCATTTTCAACAGCGTTACAGACAAATGTCCCCTTTCGAGGCATCTAATTCACATGCGATCCCCTCGATCTTTAAATGCTGCTGGAATCCTAAAAAACCTCACTTTATCCCTTTCAGCTCTATTGGAGCACCCAAAAACGCCACAAAACGAAGGCATCTTCACAAAATAATACTTCAAAAATTCTCGGTTTGCATTGAAAATAACACTAAATCAGGTTATGTTTACCTTGTGTCTGCCCCTCAGTTAAAATGGCCGATCGGTTTTGACGTCACCCTGGAATGGTCTATATTAGGTTAAGGCTCATTTCTTCTCCCTCTCTCATGACCTACCATAATCATTGCACTTGGCACACACTATATAAATATCCCTCGTAATGTATCAAATCTGACACACAGTAATAGCAATAGGGCAATCCAACGACTTGTCAAAATGGAATTCAAAATGGAGGCCAATGCCTTTTTTCCACTAATAATTTCTTAAACTAAAAACTTTCCATCTTAGAATACGAAAATTATCCTCTCAAACACTAGAAAATCATCTAAAAGCACCACAAAATACACAAAAAACAGTTTTTTGATGAAAAATGTCACGATTGCTTGAATTAAATTTATGGCGCCAATTTTTTGGCATTGGCTATGCATTGACCACCATTTTGTTTGGATTGCCCTATAATGCTGCACTAAATAGATTTATTGGTTAGAATTTTGATTTAATACGAGGGATTTTAAAGAGTGTGTGCCAATAGGAATGTTCACAAAATAAAAAAAAATCCGTTTAACCATCATCAAATTATTAAGCATCGTTTCATAAGTAAATCTACAAAATTTTACGAAAATCAGAAAATTCTTTCTATGAGAAAAACGGAGACGAAATATTGATATTCGTTTAAACGCACGAAACGCTGTCTGACGTCACAATGCGTAATGAGTTAGCACGCGCCAGTACAGTAGTGGCGTTACTAGCTACTTGGATCAGCCTCTTGTGACGTTGCTTTTGCGATTTTTGTTGGGAATAAAGAATATTAATATTAATATTATTGTTATAATTATTATGGTTCGGTTTTAATTTAACGAGAGAGTCTGTTTAAAACGTTTAACAAGTATTTTGATATTGCTGCTATCTCCTTCATGTCGATCTCTGTGTTAGGGTTTATCGAAATTAAGGTAGAAAAGGTACTATGGCTAAAATGAAGGAAGGTTTTCAAAAGGCCGATTCACATAATCTGCCAACTGTGGACGTTATCTACTATTTTTTTGTTTATTTCGTTATCTACTATGGTATCAGAATGTTTGGTCAAGTGTCGACTTGAATCAGCTCCAGTCCATTGGTGTAGAAGTAAAACAGACGTTATTAGATGTAGGTATAGTTGCATTTGAATAATTAATTAATATATAGTTATTTACCTGTACCAAGGGCGGAAAGTTATACTTTCCCGCACGCAACGGCATTTGCACGAACGACGAGCCAGCGGAATTCGTGCAAGCCGCAAGTGCGGAAAACATACTTTATGCTCGTGTCAGGCCCATTTTTTCTATGAGCGTGTGAAAAACGCGTCTTCACACGGTTTGCGTGCGGAAAGTAGCACATTTTCGCACCTCGTAGAAAAACACGCACGTAGATATCTACCACTCTTTTCGACTCGGTTCAACTTTGTTTGAGTCTCCCATCATTACACAAACACAGATAATTGGAGTTAATGAAGCTTCTTGGGATAAAGCAACAGTCAGCAACACAATAAATCCAATGTAAACTTGTAAACAAATCTCGCCAACGCGCCAGTTGATTTTTCGCTCCGCACAGTGACGTCACAAGCGGTACTCTCGCCGCAGGGGGTCGTTTTGCTAGCCTCGCTAATTTCGTTTTTTTGTTTTCGATTTATCAGAAAAAATAAAGGGTTTCTAGATGTTTTAACGCTTAATACGTGTTTTGTGGACCTAAAACCACCAGTTTTTATTACAATTGAAAAATAGTGAACATCCCTATTGCAATGATTCCGACTTTACCAATTAGTTAACCAAATGGTATACCAACCAATTTAACCAAAGCTTGCCGAAATCGCCTAAAATATTTAAAAAAAGATTTTGGTTCAAAGGTTTATTAAACGATAAATTATCGAGTACAAAAAATCTTATGTTTTTTCATTACAAAGGTAGGGGGGCCCATTGTGATATTTGCTTAGGGGCCCAGTGCATCCAAGCGCCGCCACTACTACAGAGCAGGCAGGTCCACTGAGACAGCTCTGTTTCAACTGACGAGCCTAATACAAGAAACTCTAAACAAGAAAGAAGTCGCACGATGCGCCTTCCTAGATATCGCTAGTGCCTTCGACAACACATCTCCTGTGGCCATTTGGAGAGCACTAATGGATGTGTAAGATGCTTGCCACGAGGACAGCAGAAACTTCAATAGGCAATGAGTCTATTGAGGTGAGCACTACTCGAGGCACTCCCCAGGGCGGAGTATGCTCACTCCTGATGTGGAGTTGTCATCATAACAAGGGAAAAGTTCGAGGGCACCTTGTGTGAACTCTTACAAACTGGACTCAAAGCAACGGAGGAATGGTGCCGAACAGTGAGACTGGAGATAAACCTATCAAAAACCACCGTAGTGCCTTTCACTAGGAGGAGAAAACTTCCTAGAATAAAGGACATCCGAATACATGGGACTAATATTTCACGGGTGACTGAAGTCAAATATCTCGGCATAACGCTGGACCAAACTCAGATGGAGTAAACACATTGAGGCAGTTGTAACTAAGACTACAAGGGCTCTCATGGTGTGCCGAAACCTTGCAGGCACAACCTGGGGATGCAAACCAGGGATCTTGAGATGGATATACACCATGATAGTAAGATCAACCCTACTGTATGGATTGATAGTCTGGTCCAAAGAAGTTAAGAAGCAGAACATAAAAGTAGCTTGAAAATGAAGAGAAAGTTATTATTCCTTTCATAAAAGTAGCTCTCAACAAACTACAGCGCCTGGCGTGCTGCACATGCATCACAGGCGCAATGAGAACCTGTCCTACAACAGCCATCGAGATAATTGTAGGTACCTCTTCACTTCGTGATGGACGGAGCCGCTAGAAGAGTGATCACTAGAATGACGAGAGAGGGGGCTAGCGAGGTAGTTTGGCTTGGAAGGAAAGAATTATCATCTCTGAACACGCTTATTCCACTTCTCGGGTTCCCCGGAGATGATATGATCAAAACATATAATTTTAAGAAACGCTTCACAGCAGTCATAAGAGGCAGGGAGGAATCGAAAGAAAACACCGTAACTATTTTCACAATGCAGCAGAAAGCCGTAAAATGGTACACTGATGGGTCAAGAACTGAACAAGGGACTTGAGCCAGAGTTCTTAGGCCTGGAATCAATTTCTTCGAAGCAATAGGAAAACACCTAGACATATTTCGAGCGGAAATAGACGCTATAAGTAGATGTGCTGAGTTCAATCCCGACAGAAACTACAAAAAGAGAGATTGTCATATTCTCAGACACTCAAGCCGCCATCAAAGTGCTGAGCTCAGCAATAATCAGCTCCAGAATGGTTCAGGTCTGGACAGGTTAAACAAACTGGGCCAAAATAACAAACTATCCCTCCGGTGGATACGGAGCCACGCAGGGATCCTAGGTAATGAGAAGGCGGACCAATTGGCGAAATTGGGAGCACAAATTCTGTTTTCAGGACCAGAGCCTTTCTGTGACATAGGAACGCACACCTATAAGAAAGCGTTCAGAAAGGAAGAGCGGACCAAATGGATCAGCTTCCAGGGTTAAGACAATCAAAAATGTTTCTTGGGCCCCTTCATCAAAGGAGATCAAAAGACATCAAATCACTGTGTGAAAACAATCTTCGCATTCTAACTGGATTCCTTACAGGCCACGGCCGGTTCAGAGTATTGAGAGTATTAAAATTGAAAACGAAGACAGCTGCCGGTTCTGTGAGGAAAGGAAGGAAACTCCAGAACCCCTTATCACGATCGTGAACAAACGAATTGCCTGCTTCGGATGCTGCTCCATTGCACGGGAAGAAATTCCATCCAGCTTACTTGAGTTCATGAAAGCTTCAAAGCTGGATAAGTGAGAATCCTATCAACTGAAGCACCCAGGTCGCAGTGTAACAGTAGTTCTAATTCATTCATTCATTCATGTTATATTGGCCAACTAGTGGACAATGTTCCTGTTTCCATTGATTCAAAGAGACATGTGGAATTTTGTCCGGACAAGGACTTGATTTGATTCCATCCGAATATTAACAAACTTTCTTTTTCTTTTCAGTTGACTATTGTTTTACGTATGGATGATAAAATGAATAGACAACTAACGAGTTGTGTATCTCCTGGTGATAATCCCAAAGTGCTAGCACAAGAATTAGTTCATTATGGTTTTGTAAATGAAGTAAGTTACAATTTTTGTATTTTCAAATTTGAATTAACATAATTTTTTTAAATTAGGTTGATCGTGATAAAATAGCGGCATTAATTGAGGAAGCACTAAGTTCATCAGGCAACATCAGTCCCGTACAAACAAATCAGCACAATTCGCTGCCAGAGCCAGAAATCACCACCATACATCCTCCTCCGCATGCTAGAATGGTAAGTCAGGATTATCTTAGTTTGACATTACATTAGTTCACTAAGCAGGGGTTTATTTCAGGAAAAAAAGTAGTAGAAAAAAGTTTTTTTCTCGCTGGTTCTATATGTTTTTTGGGGTGTTGAATCCGAATCTGAGGTTTACCAACTCGCCAGACCTTGGCTTCACATGAAAAATTGCAAAAAACCTTAAATTTTCGGCATTGTTTTCAGGTTTCCAACTATAACTCGAAAACTAAGCGTTTTTAATGTATAACTATAATATACTAAATTAAAGTAGACAAAATTTCCTACAAGTACGTATAATAACTCGGCAATCCATAAGGTCGTAATATCGTGTTGAAAAATTGGCGTTTCTTGGCTTTTCTCTAAAAAAGTTAAAAACGTATTTCTAACTAAGGTTTTGATTAAAGGAAACATTATTTGTAAAAAATTGGTTTTTACACAAAAAAAAGCAGAAGCACCGTTTATATTCATTATGGACAAAGTTTGTCAATACCTGCTGCATAAGGCTCAGGATTGCGTTCGCAGATGTTCAGTTTAGTTGGACGAGATTGTATGTGCGGAGCGACGTTTTCTTTCTAGTCCTGTCTGGGCAGTGCATTACCCTAATTCTTGAAGGATAAGCGCTGGTCTGTCTACTGGAAAATAGTAGTTTTCCTAATCAGTGCGCAAAGTTATGTTCTCCTATACGAAAGCAGTTAGGGATTAGCTTTTTATCGATAGAACTCGTGTTCCTCTATCGGCACACCAATTTAGAGCCCGATTGAATTTTCGACCCGACGTTTCGAAATTTTCCAAAAAAAATTCTCCCGAACTGTTAGGGGCAGAGGGGTCCCACTCCCTAATATCTTTCTTAAGGGTGAATAGGGTTAAATGAAAACCCAACGTCGCGAAGGGGGTTTGTTTTCCAGATATCATGTTTATCAACCCTTCAAAATATTTTAAAAAAATATTGTACCCCCCCGCCAATCGCGCCATTTCCACCTTCAATTGTTTGGGCGGTGGAAGGACCGAAAGTCAAAACTTTGACAGCTCCCACAGGACTCCTCAGGGGAGGAGGGAGACGAAAATTGTTTTCGCTCGATACAATTAAAAGTTTAGGCACCCCTGAAAATTTCAACCTTCTAGCTGATCGGAAAGTACGAAAAAAACGAATGAGCGGGGAAAAAATGTCCACGCAGTGTGCGAGAAAGTGCTACTTTGCGTATGTAAAACTGCGCAAAGTAACTTCTTTGCGGTCAATCGTAGAAAAAAATATTTCATGACATTTTGATCTGTAAAGGTATAGTCCTAATTTACAGGGATAAATACTAGATAAGGATAATAATTCCTTGTAATAGTATAAATTCGCTCTTTGTAGTATAAATTACCTTCCAGCTTCTCAGGCGAAACGTCTTGATCGTCATCACTGAGCAGTATTTCTATATTGGAGCACCTTTTTTCATGAGCCCATGCAAGCATTAGCAAATTTTGTCCGTAATAAACATGAACGACATTGATTCTAATATGGTTTTCCAAAGTCTTCATTTTCATTGTTTCAGGTAATAATTCCGCAGATGTAGACGCCAGGAATGAATAATGAATATGAAAATCATGGAATAATGGTGTTTTTTTTTTAATGTGTAAATGCCAATTTGTTCCAAATGTGTTTCCTTTCATCAAAACCTTAGTTGGAATAACGTTTTCAAATTTTTTAAAGGAAAATCAGGAAATGCCATTTTTTCAACACGATCTTACGACGTTGCGTTGTAGATTGTCGAGAGTTGAGCGTTATTGTACGTACTTGTAGGTATATCATAGTTATAATTTAAAAACGCTTAGTTTTCGAGTTATAGTTGGAAACCTGAAAAAAAATGCCGAAAGATTTTTTGAAATTTTTCGTGTGAAGCCAACGTCTGGCGAGTTGGCAAACCTCAGATTCGGATTCATCACCCCAAAAAACATATAGAACCGGTAAAAAAAAACCTCTACATTTTTTCCTCAAAACGCTGTTTCTGAACCTTGGATGACTGAACTAATGTCTGAAACAAGAACTTTGTTATGTGGCCTGTGATCGCTAGAAGCAATTTTTGTTTGCCAAATCTCCAATAATAGATATTAATACTGACCGTGTCAAAGGCAACAGTCCACTGATATACCGCTACTACAGTTTTATTTTGGTCAGTTTCATCGTTTAAAAACTCTCTAGAAGATACATTGTTGCACCCAGTGTGTTGATGTTTTTCTGAAACTCATCTACTTTATTGAAAAAGAGTTATAGTTTCCAATAAAAGGGTTTATTGATTCAAAGAAAATCATCGCTCATCATAATTTTTGGTGGAATTAGATTGTAAAACTCTTTCTTTTTGGTAAACTAAAGGGTGATTCAATTTGGGGATTTCCACATAAAAATATTTGCAAAAAAACGCAAAATTTGAAAAAATGCAGTATGGCAAGTGGCACACTGCAGCTCCCACAAAAAGTCTGTTATCATGTTCCGATAGCGAACGCTAATAACCGTAACAGCATGTGCTTGGATTTTCCGCCACACTTCCATGAAGAATGGCAATACTTTGTGCCCGAATGGCCTATGGATCCAGTTTGCTCGAAGTTTTGGGCCCCATTCCAAATTGTCTCTCAGCAGGTCAATTTTGCCCACCAAAAAATTCACGTAGAGCACGAAATGTATTGTAACGGCCGCCAATGTGTCAAGAATCCTAGGCTGTCGAATACCCTAGAAATTACAGATTCCTATAATTTAGTTAATTCTACTTAATCGGGAAAAGGAGAGTTATCGCGTGTATTCTAGATCGTAAATGAATGGATTTACGGCTATATAAAGCAAGCTGGTATTTAGAAAGTTTTAAGTTTAAGTTTGACTGTGATATGAATTAGATAGTGATTATTGTTAAGAGTTGTAAAGAGTTTAGTTGTTGAGTTAGTAATTAGTGTCAGAGTGTATAGTTACGTGGAATAAAATTATCGCTGTGTTAATTGGACTTTGATTTTGGAATAAAGAAACGAACCCAAGATTTCTGTTACGCACACCAGAGACGTGACATTGGTGTCAGAAGTGAGACATAATTTGAGGACCGCAGTGAAATCCGATTGCAGAATAGTGCGCAGACACTAGTGTTGTTAAGTGTGAACACTGCGACAGTTAGTTAGTGTAAGCAGTGAAAATCACCTAAAGAGACTTACTTACCCGATCGTGTAAATTACCCCGGAAGTGACTCTATACCCGATTTTGACTGTGAGGGTAAATTTCCGAGTAAGTTCTAGAAAATTCTATTTGGAAACAAAGGGAGATATCGAATTTGTGACTTCACCAAAGTGTTTTCTATATCAATCGACATCCAGGAAAGACATTTCAAGAAAATTCTAAAATATTCTATTCTAGAATAAAGCAAGTTATCGAAGTTGTGACTTCACCGGCGTGTTTGGAACTTCGAGCAAAGACCAGATAAGATATTTGAAAAAAGTTCGAGGGAAATTCTAGAACATTCTGTATATGCCTATCACAAGACAACAAGCAAAAATGGACGAACAAAAAGTTGAATAACTCCTGCGCAAAATGTTGGAAATTCAGGAGACCAAACGACAACAAGAAAAACAAGACGAAGATGCCAAGCGACAAAAATAAAAACAAGACGAAGAAGCCAGGCGGAAAAAAAAACAAGAAGAAGAAGCTAGACGACGACAAGAAGAGGCTAAACGACAACAAGAAAAACAAGACAAAGAAACTAAACGACTACAAGAAAAACAAGACGAAGAAGCCAAGCGACAAAAAGAAAAAGAGGAAGAAGAAGCTAGACGACAACAAGAAAAGGCTAGACGACAACAAGAAAAACAAGACGAAGAACTCGAGCGACAAAAAGAAAAACAAGAAGAAGAAGATAGGCGATAACAAGAAGAGGCTAGGCGACCACAATGACGGCAAGAAGACCTTGGCAAACTGCAGAAAATATTCCAAACCATACAAGGAACTGTCGCTAGCCTAGACCAGAAGATTGTTAAAGACGATGTTCAAGAAGTTAAAGACAATGTTCAGCAATTAAGACAAGAAGTTGAGCACCAAGTTCAAGCACTCGAAGATAAGGTGCGTAAATTAGAAATACAGTCCATCAATCCAGCTAGTGTTGGAGCATTTTCCAGTATGAAGATAAAACCACCAACTTTTGATGGTTCTACGGCCTGGACTATGTATATTCGACAATTTGAAGCTGCTGCAAATACCAACGGATGGAACGATCAAGAAAAAGCTACAGCACTAATAGTGGCGCTACGAGGACCAGCCTTAGATCTTCTTCAGTCCATTCCTTCAATCTATCAACAGAATTACCAGTATTTTAGTCAAACGTTAGAATTGCGCTTCGGAGACCATTACAGACAAGAAGTATTCAGAACTCAAGTTGAATCAAGAGTTCAAAAACCCGACAAGAGGCTACAAGAATTCGAATCGGAAGTTAAAAGGCTAGTGAGTTTGGCGTTTCCTGCAGCTGGGAAAGACATGCAGGAATGAATGGCAGTATCTGCGTTTATTGATGGTCTCAGAGATTCCAAGATCCAGGAAAACCTGAGAATGTCTAAGTTCAGACAAAGAAGCGAAGCCCTTGTTCGAGCATTAGAACTGGAAGCAATCTTTGGTGCCTCAACACCCAGAATACGAGCAGTGTCCATTCAAGACCTAAAGGATGAACAAACGTCAAAAGAAGATGGTAACTTCAAGAATCTTATAAGTTCATGGAGAAGATAAAGAAACTTAGACAAATGGAAAACGACTCCAAACAAACAACGAGAAACCGAGTAAAATGTTACCGGTGCCAAAAGCTTGGACACATGCAATGGGATTGTAGACTAAGGATGTCCTCTCCATCTAGGGATCGTTCCCAAAGCTTTTGAAGGTCCGGAGACGCCAGTCCTAAACACCGACCTGGGAACCTGCATGAGAAAAACACTAGTCCAGCTGTGAGAAGAACGGGCCTGATCGTTGATGACAAGTGGACTACAAAACAAATGAGAGAAGATCAGGAAGCAGACCAGGACATCGGGCAGATTCTCCATCTTGAGGAAAATGATGAATGTAAGCCAGAATGGAGGGAAGTGTCGCACAAGAGCTTGATTTACAAGGCGTTGTGGTCTCAGTGGCCGTAGAAAATGGTTTGCTAAAAAGAGTTTGGGAAAGTGCCGATGGGAAATCCACTAAGAGCCAACTTGTTATCCCAAAAGACCGAGTGGAAGATGTATTAAAAGAGATACACGACGGAACTTCAGGGGTACAAGACTTTGGATAAAATTCGGGGACGTTTTTACTGGGTTCACTATTAAAAGTTGGTGCCGGAAATGCGACATCTGTGCTACCAGTAAAGGCCCTAAACTAAGGTCTCGGAGGTCCATGAAACAGTACAACGTCGGTCTCCCATTTGAAAGAATAGCGTTAGATGTTGCCGGACCGTTTCCTGAGTCAGACCGTGGTAACAAATACATCTTGGTTATCATGGATTACTTCAGTAAACAGCCGATTGCCCAGGTGCTAGTGGACGAAATTTTCATTCGTCATGGTGTGCCACTAGAGTTGCATTCAGATCAGGGACGAAACTTCGAATCTGCCATCTTTAAGAAAATTTGTGAGATTATGGGCATTCGTAAGACAAGGACAACACCTTTACATCCACAGTTTGATGGCATGGTAGAACGATTCAATAAGACCATAGAGGAACACCTAACAAAAGTGGTCGCAAGGAACCAGCGAGATTGGGACGAAGTAAGGGCACGACTTCTGGGAATATACGAATTTACTCGGGAGCACATTTAGCTGGCCAGTGACCGAATGAAAACCAGATACGACTTCAGACTTGCAAGCTAATTCTGATTTCAAGAAGGTGATTTAGTGTGGTTGTATAATTCAGCAAGAAAGAAAGGAGTGTCGCCGACGTTATCTTCAGCATGGGATTCATGGGAAGGACCCTACAGAATAATCAAGGACTTCGATTTTGGAATAAACGTAACGAACCCAAGATTTCTGTCACGCACACCAGAGACGTGACAGTATTTTTCCTCGATCGCACATTATTCAAAGTGAATGAATAACTATTCTTCCTATGTCAACTGATGAGTTTTCAGAAAATGTTTTTATTTTCTTTAAACTCAATTTTGTTTTTACTAATAGTCTTTGCTTTGGTCTAGTAATCTACATAAAACCACTTATTCTTCTTTTTCACTGTGATTTATGTGTGCGATCTAGGTGAAATGCGTCATTAGAAACAAATTTCTCACTTGGCCTTGACTTTTCCCTTGGTTGCACTTCAAGTTTTTTCTTTCAACAACGAACAACAAACTGTTTCTGAACTTTGGACTTGATTTCGGGGAGATTGAACATTGCCCTGATGAGGATAATATTCCTCAATTATTTCGGTTCACTAATCAAATAAAAACATTTATTACCAATGTTCAAAATTCAATCAACATAACTTTAAATTTTTTTAAATATTGTCTTCTTTTTGCAGATGTCAACGATGTCAGCAGTAAACCCAATTGCACCGACGCAAGTGCCCATGCACTCTACCAGTTAGTGATCGGCCCGGGAGGAGTGGCAACATAAGTTTTTCCTGAACAAAGAAACTTTTTTTCTTAACCAAATTTTTCGCGCATCCGGTATTTTTTGAAACCAAACTTTTTACGTTGGATACATACCTGATATGAGCTCTATTCTATAAGTTTTTTTTTAATGTTAGGACCTGCTTCAGGCTTGTGATACTATTAGTTTTGTTTGAGAGAACGGAGTACTTCTCGCTCGGAGTATAAAATAACTTATTTGAAAAGACTGCGATTTCATGTTGGACATTGCGCTAGTCATATTGACCATAAATGTTTTAAAAAAATCTGTGATTGGAGCTCCGATGACATGCGGACATTTAGCTAGGCTATAGTTGAATATTGACGTTGTAGGAATATTTTGGCTTACCTAATAAGAATTTTCACAAAGTTGTTACTTTATTCTACTTTTTTTTTAATTAGTGAAAAATACTAGGCATGCCTATACTTTAATGTTGCTAATTATCGAGCTTTTGATGTGGAATTATGGCCTCAAAGCAAATTTGGATTTTTACAATTTTGAAAATTACTTTTTTTATTAGTCCATGTGCATAGTTGTCAATTTTGATCATACAGTGCAAGTCAATGCCATGAATCTGTTGAAATTTGGAGGAAAGTTTTCTTTAGTCATAAAATTGACAGTATTAAGGTGGCAAGAGTAGCCTCACATTTGATTTTAGTTCTAAAAATGTTAATAGATGGCGCTAGGATGCAGTATTTAAAATATTATTATTTTGCACCTGGCCCAACCACAATGCTCGCCATTTGGTATTAATTAAGATTTACACGGCCGATTATTTTTTATCTTGGGCCAATTTTTCATAGAACAACTAAAGTTGATTATCTTGATATTCAAGTGCCCTATTTAAACATGTAAATAAGCAAAAAAAAATTTGTAAATATGTACTTTTATTACCCAAAATATTCCTACAAAAATAATAATATTAGGGATGTCAATAGAAGCTAAACATGTTAGATGTCGATCGGTTTCTTGTAAATTTTTGTTACAGGCTGTTTGTTTAAAAATATTTAATAACGACACAACAGTAAAAATTTACATCACATTTATTGTAAAAAAAATAAATAACTATTTCCTTTTTATAAAAGTGCCATTTATTATTTCTTATATAAATTAACGCAATTTTTAATTTAATTGATTAAAATAAAATAGGTAAGCGCAACTAATACACATTTCTTTTGGAATTTCGTCGAGAGTATTTTGAAAACAATGGGATTATAAAGGAGTTAAGTATGTTTGTTATGATCTGAAGTAAAAATAGAATTTTCCTACACCGATTTGCGGAAAGTACCACTTTTTCATACAGCGTGCGAGAAAAAAAATTCACCGCACAGCGTTTCGTTCAATTTTTCTGTCATGCTTTTTAAACATTTTAGATTTTTTCGAAATTTCTCCGTTTTTTCTCTTCAAGAAAGCTATAAGCTTTTTGTACTGACCAATATCGACATCTTTAAGAAGTTTTACACCATAAAAAATTATTTCTATCTATGATAAAAATAATTGTTAATGTTCTGTTGTTAAACCTTCCTAAATTTAATTGAAAAATCACCATTTTGACTATTTCTTCTACATATGTATAAGCAGTAGAGCCAAAAAGAAACAAAAAAACAATATGTATGTCAATTTCCGCACGCTCCTAAGAAAAATGTTGTACCTAACACAAGCATAAAGTATCATTTCCGCACTTACGGCTTGTACGAACTCCGCTGGCGCGCCGGCCGTTGCGTATAACGTTCCGCATTTGTTGTTAGGTAAATAACTATTCCTTTATGGTCTCTCCATTTTTTTACATGTCGCAATCACTGTTTTATTCACTGCCCAAAAATAATCCAGTCATTAAGTATTTATTATGTAGATTTTTTTTAAAGATTCTAAGCTAAGTTTTTCTTCTTTTGCTGCTATGGCCAATTTCTTATATTTGAAATGAACTGGGCTCGCTGTATCATGCCCCCCATCATCACCTTTTTGTGTATCTACTCATTTTCCACAAAAGCTCTTATTGCATTTAATCGTGTTTGTGGACATGACCTAATTTTTATAATGAGATTTTTTAAAATATTATTTCAAAAAACTGAGTGTCAGTTCTTTTATCACTTCAATATTGCTAGCTCCATTTTGGTATTGGTAATTTCACAAAATTAAATAATTCTGTTACACAGTTATGCAAGGATACTGATTTCAATGAGTCCCAAATTGATTCAGGTGATAGGGATTCGATGTAGCTGCCTGACAATTCGATAAAGGCAGATTTTTTGTGGAGTTTCCAAAAATTTCAATTGGGGCTGCTTCATTAACTTGGTTGATTTATGTTCTTCTATATGTGATTTCGCTATGCAGAATGTTGAAATGGAATTAAATTGTAGTTTCTAGTATGACTTTAAATTTGATCCGATTTACCCAAATTTTCATCGATTGAAAAAATACCTATGTCTGGAAATAACATCATCTTTTTACTATAATTAGTACCTACCAAACCTCATACTTGCTAGAAGTTTTCCCATGCAACAAAAAGTAGCCTGCCAGCAGCAAAAAAATTAAAATCATATAAAAAAAAACCTTTTCACGAATTTCATTACCTACTACTTAATGATTGGTTGAAAATATAATATAAGAACTAGATAACTATTTCTCAATATAGATTGTACAATGTCAATAAAACCCAAAGTATATAAATCAACTAAAATCATAATAAATATTTCTCCTAATAAAGATTCCATTATTAGTGAAAATACTCGAAAAATATAGATGACTAATTTATAAAAATGATTCGCCCCTTGAGACTGATTGTATAGAGTAGGATTTTAGGCAAAAGTGGGAGAGAGAAACGACAGGGTAAGGAATATAAGTAGGCAAAGGAGAGTAGGACCAAAACAATTCTACACATGATTCAATTATGTATCAGCTGTAAATCGAGCTTTTGAACATGGCTTAAAACACTAACAGGGTCAATTTGTATAATATATCATGAACTTATAATGATTGAATAATTCCATCATACTATGCTTTGCACTAAGTACCGACAATATCATTTATTTTTTTCAAATTAATATTCTTTCATTGACTTTTTTCACTCAGTGGGTTAGGTGAATAGAAACAAGTAAAAAAGGAGGCAAATTAACATTGAAAATAGGCCCCCATGAATTTCAACCAAATTTCAATATTTTGAAGCTATCATCATTACAAAAAAAAATTGAAATGTAAAGAGGATCGTTATAGCAGATATAGCTCATCAAAGTACGTAGGTTCTATGCTATACATAGGAAATATCCAAGGATATATCCCTACGTAGATTTTCTTGAATATCTCGAAAAATACTAATCTTATTTTGACCTTTTTGGAGTTTGATACCTACAAAAAGACCCCAAAAACGTTAAAATCGGATTAGTATTTTTCGAGATATTCAAGAAAATCTACATAGGGATATTTCCTCCAATATTCCCCATGCATAGCGTATCAGGACCTACGCACTTTGATGAGCTATATCTGCTATCACAGACATACGATCCTCTTTACATTTCAAATTGTTCTTTGCAATGATGATACCTTTAAAATATTGAAATTTGGTTGAAATTTACGGGGGCCTATTTTCAATGTTAATTGTGCCTCCTTCTTTTGAGAAATTTTACTTGAAATTGAGTTCTGGATATTCTGTAATGTTGGTCGGGCATAAAATCAGCATGACTGATCAATGCTCACAAGCAATTATTAAAATATAAAGAGAAAAAGTCACCTCACTTGCTTCTACAAAGTAATTGAAGTACTTATGAGATAATTGCCAGTAAACTCTCAGCAAATTACTAACAAGTATAAGCACCCTCCTATTCACATTTTTCTTCTTGAACAATTACTTTTCTTGTATTTTTTCGTTTTTATTTGCCTCATCCATTGTGTTTCCCATAATTAAATTTTACTGTGCATATTTTCGGATTTTCCAAAAAAAAAACATATTCTCAAATCATCAGACAAAAATGTCAATTTTTATACATCTCGGTCGAAAACTTTTAGTGTTTTAATTGTTAGCCAATGAAAGAATGTAATAAACGTGTTCAAAATCGAACAGTTAGGGCCTACAATAAATAAATAAATAAATAAATAAATAAATAGATAAAAAGAAATGTGTAAGCCAAAAATTTTTTTAATTTTTTTTTTTATAAAGTTAGTTAAATTCAATTGGATTTATCTTTGATAAAGTCAAAATCAAAAGTAATATTTAATAATTATTGTGAGCATAGAATTTATGTTTCTCGTTTCTTGATTTGAAAGCGCTTCACTAAATAAAATAAATAAATACATATTGTGAACTAGGATTAGGAATTATATAAATAAATAGTAAAACTTATTACTTTTGGAATTACATTATCAAATATTAATGCTGCTGCTTTTATTATTAATTATTACTACATATTATTATTTTTCGGTTAAAATAAATACATGTTGTACATACATATTAATTATTATTGTATTGTCTTAAAATGTAGATTTTAAATTTTTTATTGAAAAAAAAACGTGTAAAATACAACTACCTTTATTTCATATAAATGGAGTTTTTTTTTTTTCAACTTATTCTTAATTTAGGCAAATGTGAGATTTTCCATATTTCAATATTCATCAACTTTGGGTCAGTTCAGACCAATTTTCAAAAACATTTCTACAACATTGCTTCGAAAGTTTTTAAAGCAAGAGTGCTCTAGTTTGTCTTAGGAACTTCGACTTGGGTAAAGGTAAAGGTAAGAGGAAGTTAAGGCGGGTCCCTACCACCCATATACTCACCAAGACCTCTGAAAGAGGATTTCAATGATTCCATTTACATATTAACATGATTATTTCACTAACATAACAAATCAAAATTCACGTCCAATACCACTTTAAAAAAATTGCTGCAGTCAAAATATTTCTGTTTTCTTCAAAGGACCCTGCAAGATTTAAGTGGAAATTGGTTACCTGTGATATTCGCAACCTTGTATACACGCCTGGCAAGTTAACATCTTTCAGGCCAATAGAATGAAATGTCTAGATAAAGTCTAAGGTTAAATAGAGAACGAACACGGTTTCCTCTGTTCCACCTCAAAAATAAAGCGCTGGGAATACTGGAGGTGGAAACGGGCAATCGTTTTGGTTCTCTATTTACCCTTAGACTCACTCTTAGGCCGTTAGAGGATGTCAAAATAGTGGTGGATATAAAAAAAATCGTATCTCAAAGTTTGCTCGTGCTGACTGATTCATATTTTCAGGACAAGTTATGACGAGCATTTGCTATTTTTTACCCTTACACCAAATTTCGATAGGCCGTTAGAGAATGTCAAAATAGGGGTGAAGATATCAAAAAAATCATATCTCAAAATCTGCTCGTGCTGACAGATTTATATTTTCAAGACAAGTTATGACAAGCATTTGCTATTTTTTCATTCTTACACCAAATCCGGATAGGCCGTCAGAGGTTGTCAAAATAGGGGTGGAAATAACAAAAATATCATATCTCAAAATCTGCTCGTGCAGACAGATTCGTATTTTCAGGACAAGTTATGACAAGCATTTGCAATGGACAAATTACACAAATGAATCTGTCAGCTGGAGCAGATTTTGATATCTGATTTTTTTGATATCTTCACCCCTATTTTGATACCCTCTGACAGCCTATCGGGATTTGGTGTTAGGGTGAAAAAATATCGAATGCTTGTCAAAACTTGTCCTGAAAATATGAATCTGTCAGCACGAGTTGATTTTGAGATATGATTTTTTGATAGGTATCTTCACCCCTATTTCGACACCATCTGACGCCAGGGCTGGGACTCTGTAACGGATAGAGATTGTTATCCCTATCGTTATGACACTTGCTGTCTTCTTCTTTCTTTTCGAAATCAATAGAGAGGGGAAGTCAATAGAGAAAGAAAAAATATTTATATTCGTTACAGAGTTCCAACCCTGACGGCCTATCGGGATCTGGTGTTGAGGCGAAAAAATAGCAAATGCTTGTCATAATTTGTCCTGAAAATATGAATCTGTTAGCACGAGCAGATTTTGAGATATGATTTTTTTATTTCCACCCCTATTTTGACACCCTATGACGGCCTATCGGGATTTGGTGTAGGAATGAAAAAATAGCACATGCTTGTCAAAACTTGTCCTGAAAATATAAATGCGTCAGCACGAACAGATTTTGAGATATGATTTTTTTGCTTTTTCCACCCCTATTTTGCTACCCTCTGACGGCCTATCGGGATATTATGTAAGGGTGAAAAAAAGCAAATGCTCGTCATAATTTGTCCCGAAAATGTGAATCTGTCAGTACGAGCATATTTTGAGATATGATTTTTTTGATATCTTCGAACCTATTTTGACACCCTTTGACGGCCTATCGGAATCTGGTGTTAGGGTGAAAAAATAGCAAATGCTTGTCATAATTTTTCCTGAAAATATGAATCTGTCAGCACGTGCAGATTTTAAGATATGATTTTTTTTGTTTTTTCCACCCTTATTTTGACACCGTCTGACGGCCTATCGGGATATTATGTAAGGGTGAAAAAAAAAAGCAAATGCTCGTCATAATTTGTCCCGAAAATATGAATTTGTCAGCACGAGCATATTTTGAGATATGATTTTTTTGATATCTTCAACCCTATTTTGACACCCTCTAACGGCCTATCGGAATTTGGTGTTAGGGTGAAAAAATAGCAACTGCTTGCCCCAATTTGTCCTGAAAATGTGAATCTGTCAGAACGAGCAGATTTAAGGTTAAGATATTTTCTTATAATTCCGACGCCTCTGGCCGTTCGGCAGTTTCCGGAGTTTTCGAGGCTATCTTGAGAGGCTAATTTCACACCGGTGAAGTAAATATCGACTCCGTAGAAATCGATAGGTCTGTTTGTTATTTACATGTAGGATAGGTCAGTGCAGACTTCTGGTGCAGCTTATAGGTGTAGCTGATGGTCACCCAGGATAAAAGAAAACTACCAAACGCGTTAGTGCAGTTCGTGCAGCGGATAAATCTCTAACCTCAACATATTATTATTCAAGTAGATTGAAGTGGAAACTAACCGAGAAAAAAATGTGTAACATTAATGAAAAAAACAAAATTTACAAGGTTTTATTGTCGGAAATTATAGAGGAAGATGGCGATTCCCTATCTTCCAACCCTGAAGACAGCTACATTGAAGCAGTTTTTAAATACGATTGCTCCCTGCCCATTCTGCACTTGTTACATCTCCTCTTCAGCAGGTGTAGGTAGTGCAAGATTGGGCACGTAGTGCAAGATTGGGCACCCTACACTGAAATAACAAACGCCTTACACTATTTGCACTAACCGTATAACAAACGCCTCAGTGCAGAAAAGTGTAAATTATTGTGCACTAGTGGAGGATAACAAATAACATACCTAATATTCACTTTCTTAAAACCTGCCAGTTACGTTTCTTCTGAATATTAGGCCGAGTTCCGTTGCCAACCTTGGTTACGGTTACACGTTCCGTAATGTCTGGTTCCTAAAAAACTGGTTTATACGGAACGCGGTTGGTGATGTCAAATATGTCGCCAAGACTACAGTGACTCTATAATCCACAGTGGCGACAATTGCTGTCTCATTTTTGATTGGTTCTAAAATCCCATATATTTATATTGAAAACACCGCCATCTTGTTCCCAACCCCTTGTTACTTTTAAATATGAATATATGGGATTTAGGTGAACATTCATCATAAATCATGGAAAACAACGTATTTGATGGACCTAATATGGTCATCAAATACGTCGATTTCAATTTTTTATGATAGATGTCCATTTAAATCCTATATATTAATATTTAAAAGTAACAAGAGGTTGGGAACAAGATGGCGGCGGGACCTCTATTGTCGCCACTGTATGTAAAGGTTTATTTAGCCACTGTAGCCAAGACAATCGGCGGCGATTCAGCGATTGAAAAAGCGTTCCGTATGAAACCGAAATTTTCAGTAACCGGTTGACAACAATCGTTGTCAACCGCTGTCAACCTGCGTTGTACCGACCGAATCTGGGAAGAAGTGAGGTTAGGCTAGTTTATTCGCCAAAAAGTTAAATTATTTTTAACTTTTTTGCGATGCCGCAAGAACTTGAAAACATTCGCGAGATTTTCCCGCCATTATAATTTCAAATAATTTGGACCAATAGGAACAATTCCGCAGAAAAAAAGTTCGCAATTAGCGATTATGAGGACTTAGCTTTATGAGGATAGGCTATCCTGTAGTAGTAGTGTGTATCATCCTTGAGGCAACGCAACCCACCCTAAGATTCCAATATTTGATAGCTAACACCACCTCACCTGTCATATTCACAAGGTTGCGCCCATGGTAAAAAATGTTGCCTACAGCATCCCCAATAATAGGTTTTCCTTCTCAACATTTATAACGGCATCCTGGGGGGAAAGAGCTCCCGCAGCCATGGACAGAATATCTACTAATGCCCATAAGCAAACCTGGAAAAAACCCTGATACTCTGGAAGGTTAGGTACAGACTACTAACCTTGGCCTCCTGCTACCTCAAAGTCATGATAATAATGCTAAGGAACAGAATCAATTGGCAGATGGAAAATAAGAAAATATTTCCTCTATTTCAGACTGGATTTAGGAAAAAATCCAGTGTACACAACAACTTGACTTTTCTCATCACCTACATTAACCTGGCCTTTGTGCAAAATCAAGCAGTCGTGGCAATATTTCTGGACATCGATGCAGTTAATATTGAAAAATTATATAAAAAACTCATACATTACAAGGTGCCCACTTAAATCTACATCACTTTCAAAATACTGAATAACAGAAACTTATTTATCAGAAACACCCAGAGCCACACAATCGGTCCGGAACAAGTATCCAAGGAACTCCCTCAGGAGTCTCCATTTAGCACCATTTTATTCAACATACAGGGTGTTTCATGAACATCGAAACAAACGCGTTTTGGGGTATTTTGAGGTCGAATTAAAAAAAAAAAAACGCTCGGACACGTCAATTTTGTATTCAAGGAGGAACTTTATTTTGACTCCATCGGTATTTCGCTAGGGTGCACTCCCTGGGTGGAGTGACATTCGCCCCTCTTTTTTAGATAGGAAATATGGGTCGAGTGGTATCTATTGTTTTAAAGGTATTTTGATTCTCGTCACAACTGTGTACTTTTTTTTTGAAAATCGATTGATTAGTTCTTAAGATATTTACTGTCAAAGTTGCCATGGGCTAAATTAGAAACAATCTTCTGGCCCTGTTTTTCTCAAATTAACACTCTTCTGAATTTCCTGCCTTAATTTTTTCGGAAGTACACAAAAAAAGAAAATTGACGTGTCCGAGAGGAAAGTCAGTAAAGCGTTAATTTGGAAATAACAGGGCTAAAAGATTGTTTCCTATTTAGCCCATGGCAACTTTGACAGTGAATATCTTGAGAAATAATCATTCGAATTTCAAAAAAAGTACACAGTTGTGACAAGAATCAAGATACCTTTAAAACAAGGTACCACTCGACCCATCTAAAAAAGAGGGGTGGAAGTCACCCCACCCAGGTGGTGCACCCTAGCGAAATACCCATGAAGTCAAAAAGTTTCCCCCTTGAATACAAAATTGACGTGTCCGAGAATTTTTTAAAATCGACCTCAAAATACCCCAAAACGCCTCTGTTACGATGTTCGTGAAATAGACATGAAGGATATTTTCGAAGTCGTGGATAGGGAAATAACTACTATGGCTTATGCAGACGATATCGTCATATTCACAAAGGGGAAAAGCATTCCAAACCTGATAAATAAAATAAACGTGTCCATGGACAAAATAAACAACTGGCTCACAAACAATGATCAAGAAAAGGAGACTTCCCCCAATCATCATTCAACAACAACAATTGGCCTTTTTAGAATCAATCAAATACTTGGGTATGATCATCGACAGTCAACTTAACTGGAATAAACACACGGAATATGTCACACAAAAAGCCAGAAAAGGCATCAACATTTTGAAAAATTTCGGCAAAGAATGGTGGGGGGCTAACCCACAATCATTAATAAACATTCACTTTGGAATCGTTATGTCCCATTTGGAATATGGAGCATTTATTTAACGTAAGCAAGAAAAACTCGAATAAAATTAAAACGCTTCAATACAATTCAGTCAGATGCACCAAATCGACACCAACAAACGTCCTCTTGGCAGAAGCCGACCAAATGGACTTCAGCTTCAGACAGTTATGGCTGGGAACTAAATTTTTTACTAAAACAGTTAACATTCATCAACATCTTTTCAACTATTTCTTCCCTTACAGAAACAAAACAGAAAAAATCGACATACTGCCATGCTATAACACTAAATATGAAACTCAAATAAGAAACATCTCTACCACCAATGTGAATATTGGTAAAAGAGAACACTGCAAAAATAAAATTCATGGCTAACACGGAAAAGTTTAGAAATGATTTCCCATCCATTTACACCGATGGATCAAAAAAGGAAGCTGGTTTTGGTGTACACTGTCCTTCCTTGAAATACAACTTCAGCCGCAGACTACTAGATGGGTTGGACATCTGCTCAGCAGAAAGAGTAGCCATCCACAAAGCCATTATCCTCATAGCCAAGAGAAGCATAAAAAAAAACAATTATTATCACCAATTCTAAAAGTGCAATAGACATTCTCAACCAAGGTTCTATGAACCCAGACATGGATAGTTTAGCATTGAATGCCAAATCGCTACTAATCGCAACATATGAGGCAGGCTATGACATCAAATTGGCATGTATACCCAGTCACGTTGGCCAAACTGAAGACTTAAGTCACATTTTTTTTTTGTATGTCCAATCAAGAAATAATTAAGCAACGTCGAGATGTATTGGTACATAATGGAAACCAGAAGGCACCCAGCCCTCCTTTCAATCAACAAGATCTTGGGAAACTTGAACTATATCAAATTAAAAGCTTGATATCTTTTCTTAATCATAACAAAATAAACTTGTAAGACCTATCTTGGAACGATAAAAACAACGCTCGACGAAACAACATTAGCTTTATTCGAGTTGAAAAAAGGAGAATTCCAGAACAGTTCAAAACAATCGCACAGTTTATCAATCAACAAAATGATAACGGCTCGGCTATCACAAATTTCAATGATGAACTGTGCGATTGTTTTGAACCGTTCTAGAACCGTCCATTTTTCAAACCGAAATAGGCCCATTATAACACACAATCAGTCATTATCACAAGCAGTAAAATAAGTCAATAAAAAGAAAATACATCCCGAAATTCCATTCCAGAAAAAAACAATTAACCAACCTGTGTTGTGTGTTCCTTTTGTATATTTACAACCTCAACTCACAGGAAAAAAGAAGAAAAACCTGGCAGCCGTCAAATTTGAATGGAAAATGGTACCTGAGCATGGCCTAGAGCAACACCTAGAGCCAGATACTCACAAATATTCTGGCAAATTGGCCTTCGTGGAGCAGAGCTAAATGCCAGATAAGAAGAAGAATGTCTGTTTGCATAGAAATCACAAACCAGTCAGAGTGAATTTCATTGGTTGAAATTAGTTTTCTGACTGTTTTCAGCCAATGAAATTCGCTCTGATTGGTTTGTGATTTCTGTGCGAACAGACTTAATATATGTAAATTTCATACAAATATCACGGGTAACCAATTTTAATTTAAATATTGCAGGTTCCTTTGTTGCTTTTCAGTAACTTTGCTCTTGTGATAAAAACACTGCTCCTAATCCAGTATTATGTGATTAAAATGAAATAAAACTCGGAACAAAGAGTACATATTTTATTTGATAAAAAGATATAATTCAGTTAGTTTCGGTTAATTTTTTTTTTTTTGGTTTTTAGTTCAAATAGACTATTAGAAAACGAAAATTTGATATCGTTTACTAATTATTTTCACGATCAAGGACCTTCTGGTGAAAATTTCAGTTAGTATTATAAATCAAGCTCAAACATACAGACATTTATTAGCTATTATATCATAATTTTTTCTCTCATGTTATTGTCCGACAAAAAGGCAGCTATATTTAATACCTTAGCATTTCCACAGATGTTGTGGTTAACTAAATTAAGGTAGCATCACTAGTTCTTGCAGTGTCAGCACCTAAAGTTGGTTCCTCGATTACCCAACATCACATTAATGAGTCATTTGCACAACGCTAAGTTTGCGATAAGAAAAACTCTATTATTATAACAGTTCAAAAAAAGTAGATAAAACTGCATAATGATTTAATGACGTCTTAACCCTAGACTATCTTCAAAACCAAAAAATATTTCGCCTTTCACCCCTTAATGTTACTATTGTTTGTAAATATGGAAATAAGCAATGCAAAGAAGATAACAATATTTTTAATCGAATAGAAAAATAGGCTTTCGCAAATCGCAACTGGCACGTTTTATTGCTTCCGTCTCGTTATTATTTTAAAGATAGAATTCTCAATTTTAAGGTTCAATCCTTTGCTCTTCATGACAACACAATTATCTATTCATAACATTCAAACCATACATTTTATGAACTTTTTCAGTCAAAAATTTTAAAAGACGTACAGTTATGCCAATGATTGGGAAAGGCCAACTCTATGACATATCTGATTCATAGAGCACTTTCCGATAACTCAGAGAAAATGCTCCTAAAGATCAATAGACCCCTGTACTTCAATATGCGGTCATTGCCTACAATATCTGTTAACTATAAAAGACAAAACATACGGGGAAATTTTGGAAAATAATATGATAGAAGACGAAGTGAGTTTATAGAAGCCTATGAGATCTTACAGGGTGATTATTTTTCCAGACCACAGAAACAGTCTCAAGCTTGCTTTGATGAGATGGAGAAGGTTGTGCAGGAAGAATGTCTTCTGCCACAGGGTGGTTATTGACTGGAACAACGTAGCTGAAAAAATTGTATGTGATCTCGATATATAGGGATATTGGATGGGCAAACGAATTGAATTTCAAGATTGGCTATTTTCAAATTTGGTGATGCTAAAGAAAAATTTGTCAAAATTTTATTTTTTCAAAACATAACTTTTTTTTGGGTGGTGGGTGAAAAAAAAGTTATTGTGTGGGCGTACATGGGCGTACGATGGACAAACAAAGTGAAATTTAAAATTGCTCGATTTACAATTTGGCGCTGGTGAAAAAAAGATGTCAATTTTTTTAATAGCTTTTTTTTGGGGCGTTATTGGGTGGGCCTTTATGGGCATTCGATGGGCAAACGGACCACGTATTGATTTGTCTGTTTTACAAATTGCTGGGTTACAAAAATAGGTTAGTTTGGATTAGTTTTTTTTTTTTTTTGTGAAATTCAAAATATTTTACATGTAATTGCCGAGATCGTTAGCCGAAAAGCTCCTCTTCGTCAACTTATTACCGATACGAAAATCAGTGTCGTCACTCTTCATATACATCATTTCAGATTCGGAAAAGTATGTAGCCAAATTTTCATCAGAAACACTTTTTACTGTCAAAGAAGAACCTTTCAGATAAATAGTTGACTGCGGCTTTTTTATATTATCTTTTGATGAAATGTCGCTGCCTTTAAAGTCTTTCTCGGAGGAGCAGGAAATTTTTTCGTCCATGTCTTCATCAGAGGATGTTTCAATTTTGATTGATACATGTTCTGGAAAAGAATAGCAGCATTATTCTTCCAAAAACAACTTTAAACGTAGGCTCCAAAAGTGAAAAAATTTAAAATTTCCATTGAAATAACACTTTCCCTAGGAAGAATTGGAAAAGTGTGTGACAAAACTTAATGTATCGTTGTTACCTTCTAGAGTAGTTCTGGAACTTGAAGCAACATTGTCCATTTCTGTGTTCAAGTTAATTGGGATAGTTATCTCAGGAGAAATCCCCATCTCTTCATAGGCAGGTGGTGGAGATTCAGGAAGATCTATCTGACAGCTGAAATCGATCCCGTAGGCAGATTCATTAGTACTTTTTCCAGAACTGATAGATTTCAGAGAACTGCTTGACGAAGAAGTACAGAATGACGTAGACATTGGCTCTGCATCTGGCGATTCAGATCTAAAATAAAATGAGTAATTTGTGTAAGCATCTATACTGGATCTTTTGAAATTTATTTTGCAATAAATGGCTTATGGCAAAAGTTCTTCAACCTTTTTTTGGGTTAGTTTGGGTCCGTCTGAACATTGAATGCATTAGTCACTGGATCGAAGTTTTGATTTGTCTATAGTTACTTTTCCATCTTTATTTTTCAGGAACCAGAAAAATCTATGTCAGTATGTGGAGCTCAATAAAGTTGGTGATTTGCAATGACAAAATTGAGTCTTTAAGGGTGAACGTGATGATGGATAGCATGTCAAAATTCAAGCTCCTGAATGAAAACGAATCAAAATAATCTTTAGAAAAGACAAAATTAGGGCAATTCAGAAAAGCCAAGAATCTTCGGGCAGAAAGACAAAAACATTTGGAATCTGCAACACGATGCTAGAATAGGAAAGTGAAGACATCAAAAAGACAAATCATTAAAATTATCTAATCAATAATACCTTAAAAGAGCAACTAGTTTCTGACAAATGTACCTGAACATCAAGGATGGTTGAATGACTTTGTTTCTATAGCAATAAGGTTTAATTTCAGATTAATTGTGATCGCTCATGTGACCACAGAGTCAATAAAAGTAGAAGAAAGAAATAAAGTAGGAGAGCCCAGGTCATATTTTCATTGATTATCTCATCCCATGTCATTATCTTCAATAATCCAAACAAAATTATTTTGAAACCTATGACTAATATGATGATATTTCTATTGGTGATGAAAATGCAGGAGACATCACCATAGATGCTCATTTTTCTAGTAGAATTGGCAGGATTCAGGGATATGGGGAATAGGTATAAACAAAAGTGAGGAACACCATCCGGCATATCTGACTTTGGATTCCTAACTCTATAGTCATAAAGGCATGCATGCCAGATAGTCCAGTGAAATGCCTTCTGTATATGAAACAACACAACTGCCACTCGTTATCCAAGAGAACATGATCTATGGAAAAATATATTTGACACAGATAACGTGGAAAATATTAAGGTGTGTATAGCGCCAATTGAAGGACACAAGAACTGGACACTCACCTGACAATACCTTCAATATTTATACTATATGGAGAATTATAAAACACAACTTACCTATACTTTGGTGGATTTGCACACCTGTACTTCAAAACTTCCGAATATTCTGGAGGTGCCTCATAGTCTGGTGGTTCATCCGGTATTATGCTTTCCTCGTCTATATCAGAAAGACCTTCTTCTGTTATATAAAGTTGATTTAAAATACAAATAATTCAAATAACGCAAGTCATTTACCTAAAATGGCGTGAATGGTTTCAATGTGATCTTGAATTCGCCTTTCGTTTCTTGCACGCATGTTGACTCTGAATAGGAGCACTGCCATTGCTAAAATAATGCCGATTAAACCTGGAAAAAGTGTCCAGTATTTCCAAAAACACATTTACGACAGCAAAATAAATTTCAGTATATTGGTTCAAAATTCCAAGAACTATAAAGTCCACAGATTTATTATTGAAACTAAAATAATTATTATTGTCCAATAGAAAACATCAAAATGCACTCGGTCATATAATCCGCGCAGACACGTGGGGCTATAAATATTTAAATTAGATTCCTATTTTTGACAACACTGGCGGACACCGGCGTCCTCTATGCAGTTGGTCTTTTGCGCAGTAGCAGACACCGGTGTTCTCCATACTCGATTTTGAGTGGCACAAGCGAAAGCTTCTATGGAAATTGCCAAAATTGGCTTGGCGGAGAATTTGCCATAAAATATGAAGTTGCGCATGAGTTTAAAAAATGCAGAAATATTTCACGCAAGGATTTCCTGGTTATTTTTAATTGTTTGTTTCAATTTTCATAAATGGCAATAATAGTACATCATAGAGCGACTTTTATAATATTTTGTAAGCCTTTGGAATAGATAACGTAACGGAGGATGAGATCATCATCAGGAAAATCTTGTAACTTCAATGATGGGGTAGAAGAGGTTGGCAAGATAAAAACGAACAATAAAAGAGAAGAGCTACCCCGAAGTACCTCTTATTTAAATTGTATTTTCTGATTGTCTCAAAAATAGCAAGCACTGAAATATTTTAATATCTAATAGATTTGCATTCAATAGCACCAATTGTGTCATTAGTAATCAACAAAATCAATATAATTGAGTTTTTTCCAGAATTGAAATTTCTCTTTTGTGCATGATCAACTGCAGGTCACCTGAAAGACCAAATTAGCCAATCAGAACACTTTTATGTCAATAATTAGTCTCAATATTTCATTTGCGGTCTTAATAAAATCAAAACATCGAAAAACATGGCAAATTTTAAATTTCGCCTGGTGCTATTTTAGACTTACCACCAAAGAAAAAACAAACCACAAGAAAAAGAAAAAAGAACAACATCCATAAGAGCACTTCGTCGGTAACTGAGTCGTCAATACTATCAAGTGAATAGCTCGATTCCCTATCCAACATTCCATAACCCCATCGAGCTCGAACAGGCATGATAATGAAATTTCACTATCAAAAATCACAATAAATTATTGTTTGTTTTAATTATTATTCAAAACGGAAATTGTTTTCCACACTGGCGCGAAATGCGGATCAAACTATAATGAAGCAACAAATTTGATCACTGACTCTCTTTGCGGTTTCGACGAGCGAAATGATAATTGCGCTTGACCAGATTTTTCAGTTAACATTGGTATTAGAAAATACTATATTTAGAAGTCACTACGACAACTATATGCCGAAAAATATCCAGGGAACCCAAGAAATGTTTGAGCTATTCCAATTTTTTTTGGGAAAAATAATAACTGAAAAACAAAACACCCTCGGACCTGGCCAATTTTTGTTGTAGTTTCATCCCCCGCCCCAAACTTAAATGTTTAAATGCGGCGACTGTGCCTCCAAATACTGTTGGAGATATGATTTTTCACAGTTTCAAAAAATGAACTTAAAAAAAACCCCTTTCCTCACAAATAATGATGTAATTTCGACTTAAAAAGATCATTTGAGACCGCCAAATAATAGTTTAATTACCTATTGAAAAACGTTAAAATTTTGTCCTCTCGCCCTCAACGAATTCGCATCTCTGGAAATACATATAATCTATAATTCTGACCGCGGCAAAAGGACCCTGCTCAAACCTTATCGAAAAGTGGGAAATCCCTGAATTTTTGATATTGTTTAGAGGAAGCCTTTCTAATTAGAAATTACCATTTCGCTAAGAGTCCAATAATAAATAGTTTCGGAAATATTAGCCAATGATACTGGAAAATAAATATTTCATTTGTGTTGAATAGAGTGACACATTTTTGTTTTTTCATTAGATTTATTTATTTAGAAAGGCCAAAGACTTTACAAACACTGTGAACTGGAAAATAGCAAATACATGTAAAGTAAGTTATTTTCATACATGAGTGAAGACAAAACATACCTGACAGCCCTGAGCTCTAACACGAGGCAAGGCCGCCTCAAGGACGATCTCTGTGAATTTTAAAATTTAATTTATCCAGTATCATTGGCCAATAACTCCGAAACCACTGATTATTGGACTCTAGCGCAATAGTAACTTTTAATCAGGAAAACTTCCTTTCAAGAATATCCTTTGTTACTACAACTACATTCTTAGAAAATCGGAATTATAGTACACATGGAGATATAAATTCAAGTATCAAGATTAATCAAGAAAGACACAGAGTTTTGTAATGTTAACAGACAACAGCAAACAGCTAAAATAGAGCAACATAATCAAATGTTGCTGGACTTCATGACAAAGCATGTCAAAGACAAGAAATGAGAAAAAGAATCGAGACAGAAACAAAGACAAGAAGAAGTTCGGCGAAAACAGAAAAAGAAAATCTGACGACGAGAAGAACAGGACCAGCTTGCAGTACTCTACAACAACAAGAAGATCGAAGACATAAAGAAAAAGAAGCTGAAGACAGAAAGAAAGGCAAGACGAAGAAGCCCGATTTTGCCTGAAGAAAGTGCGAGATTTTTTACGCTTACGACCAAGCACAAGTATGCAAGAATCATATTTTGTGATATAAATAAACCATCATTTACAGGATTCTAGAATTTTGTCGAATTTAATGTTTCACAACAACCTAAAAGACTTTCTATGACTAAACAACAACAACTAGGAACATTAGTAGAAAGTATGCTTGCAGAGGGAACCGTTGAAGAGTCTTCAAAGTATGTCATCGCCAATTATTGTACAAGTAACAAAAAAAAAACAGAAGGATCTACCAGATTTTGCTTCGTTTATAGAAAGCTTAACGATGTCAATAGAAAAGACAGTTACCCAATTGCCTAGAATTGAGGATACCCTTACGACATTGGCAGATTCAAATTGGTTTTCTCCTTTGGACTTAAATAGCGGATACTGGCAGATGGGTTTTTCTAGGTCTTTGGATAACCCATTGCGGTACTTTATATTGAAATAGTTTAAGTGACGTTATTGTTTTTGTGCATCAAGTCTATTTGGGGATTCTAAATGTTAAGTGTTGGTTTTGCCTAGTTGAATATTTGTGCTCTACCTTACTTTCGCTCTTGTACACGAAAAACTGCTTTGTTATTATGCCATGACAGTAAAGTTGAGAGGAAAGAGAATACACTTTACCAATTCAAGGTAATACCTTTTGGACTCTGTAACGCCCCCGCTACTTTTGAGAGGTTGATGGAAATCGTACTACATGAACTAACCTGGAAAGTATGCTTTGTCTACCTGGATAATGTGTTAGTGATGGGAAGAACTTTCGATGAGCACCTACGAAACTTACAAGAAGTATTTACTCGTATCCATAAAGCAAACCTCCGATTAAATGACAAGAAATGTTCACTCTTCCAACAGCGCTTCAAACAGGTGATGAACATGAACTCAGAAGTTTTCTTGGGCTTTACTACAGGGTCCTTATTCTTGAAATGGGGGAGCAGCATTCCCAGGAGAACGAGTGTTCTGTCTTTGTTACCTATATTATCATTTGCATATCATTGAGAATTACGGAACACTCGTTCTCCTGGGAACGCTGCTCCCCGGTTTCAAGAATAAGGACCCAGATCATTTGAAAAAGGATTTGCTAAGGTAGCAGCGCCATTGTATAAACTCACTGAAAAAAAAAGCTATTTTTGATTGGACCACCGACTCTGACGTAGCTTTTGGGACACTATAAAGGCAGCTCTATGTTCCAGTCCTATATTAGGCTACTCACGGATACGAGGCAATCATAAGAACTCTACGCTGACGAGGTATTGATGATACATGCTGCAGATGGATAGACTGCATGCTTCGAGGCAGTGGCGGCTGGCCCTAAGGGGCCAAGGGGCCGTGGCACTGGCGCAAAATATGTCGATCCTTTTAAAATATTTTTTTTTTTTTAGTTCAATAGTTATTACAATCGTCAGATCAAATTACTTATCATTTTATAATTTGATCCCGACAGAAAAATTTCTGTCGTTATTATTCCTAAATTTCCTAGACAATAATTTAAGCGACTGACTAAACTAAACTCGCTGGACTATCCGTCCGAGCCCATCTCACAACGGCCCCGCTGCAACACGGCAATTACGTTGGAGAAGGTCACGCCGCGCTCCCAGTAACCAGCTGTTTTTATACATATAAACGGGGCCACCTGATCGAACGGCCCGGATTAGTAGTTGCTGCAATTTAATTTGAGAGTCGGTTCGCGGACATTGTGCGTATTTTTTAGCGGCGTCGCGGCATCTTTGTCGGCATATTTCTTTGAAGGGCTTGCCGCACCGCACAGAAGTCAGTTTGGTCTGGAAAGACCAATGAACTATAGCTAAAAACTGGAATGCGCACACATTGCCATATCTGCCAAAAAAATGAAGCCATGAAAGACAGATGCCACAAGGGGGAATGTTGTTTTTTTCTGTTGCTCGCTGACATAATATGACGTTTTCTAAAGTTTTGTCATGTTTCCCTTCACAGGTTTCATCAATTGGAATACGTGTTGGAAGCAATTTTCGCCATTTAACATAATGAGTGCGACAAAAACAGGTATCCCCTCCGCAGCAGCCGCACTAGGCTTCAAGTTCGTCCTTATGTGTTAGCATTCCAGTTTTTGGTTATAGTTCATTGGGAAAGACAGTGCAGTAAGTAGAAATTTTCGAAGTGAAAACTTCTTTAGAATCGTTGGGAGTGATTTGAGACTAGATGAAACGAAAAAGCGACACTTTTTTACCATGCTTATATTAACACACAATACACAACAAGAACCTGGAACAAGCCAAGTGAGCTGGAACAAGTCTGGAAAATTTCTGGATAAATCTGGATGAAGTCTGGAAAAGTCTGGAAATCTCTGGAAACGTCTGGAAAGAGCCTGGAAATTTCTGGAAAGGGTCGAAAAAATTCTGCCAAAGGTCCCAAAAGACCTGGGGA